TTATTTATAACTGGCATACAAGAAATGAAAGCAAGTAGAGATAGGATCCTTGGCTTTAAGTGATTCAAATATTAAAAATAATTCTAGGGTAGGTACAGTAAGGTCTATAATAGGCAAATTGTTAACAGTAATGAAGATTAATTGCATAGGATTCACCTGAATGTATAAATGGGAATGAGCAATTGTACTTACCTGCTGGGTTCACATGGATGTTATGTGAAAAACATAAAGCAATGTTTACTCCTGTACATTAGCTAATTGAACACTTAGATAATTTTAAATTCAATAGATTCATTACATTAACCAAATCCCTGTGAAATTGTAAGACTAAAACATAGCCACCCAAGGGAATACGAACTCTTGCTACTTACTGGGGGAAAAAAATTAAGGATTTTTGCTGTCATCTCTATTTTAGAGATAAGGAATCTAAAGCTAAGAAAAATTAGTAGTTCACAAAAGTCATTTGAATGATAGCAGAGATTCAAACACAATTGTGTTCAATTCCTTAATCACATGATTTATCTACAGCACACAGTAGTCATACCACTTAATACAATTATTTTCCATTTATTTCCAATTATTTTATAACTTATCAGTGCAGCTGTATTTTTTAAGAGTATAATTTTTCTAACAGATAAAGAGTCTCAGAATTCATATAATTCATCTGGCTCAATCTGTTCATTTTACAGATAAGAAAACTGTGACCAAAAAAGGCAAAGAAAATTTCTTAAAGACTAATAGATGTCTGGTGGAAACACATCAGGTGTTGGAACCTAGATTTCAAAAAATCTTCAGAAATATTTAATGAATAGCATTATTCAACTAATTCAAGTGGAATTATATTTCAAGTCAGAGATGGAAAAAGAAATTAATGTTATAATAATCTAATATTTATTTGTCTGATATGAATATACCAAGGATATTAAAAATATAATTTTGCTAGTTGCCATTTAAGTTGGCCATCATATGAGAGCAAATAACAGGATCAAATCTGACACTATTTGCACATTATATATACTTAAGTGATTTTTAATATATGTTTGTACATATACTTATGAAAGTTCCTATATCCTATTTGGTAGTAGTGAGAAAGCTTCATATTAGCTCAGAATTACTGGTTTTTTCTCTTACTATTTTCTCACATTGAAATCATTTCTCAGTTGGTGCTTCCATAGAGAATTCCTCAGTTAATTATGTAGGAATTTATTAAGATAATTGATTCATGACATTAAGATTACCTTTGTTCATTTGATTTTGGAGGAGCACTACTGTATCAAATAAACAACCTCGTCATTTGCTACTTTTTTCCAGTGAGTGCTCAGGAAAGAAATTAAAATGATACATCATCAGTGTATCTTCCTGTAAAGTCAGATGAAACGACTTTTGCAAATCAAATGGCATGCAGTTCCACCTATCAGAGATTTGGCTCAATTATGAGTCTAATCATGGTTCTATTAACATAATCATTTACCTTCATCCTCAAAGGCCCATATTTGCAGGATACCTACTACATGGTGGAGGCTAAGGAAACAAATCTAGAGACATCGATGTATTTTCTTCACCATGTATATAAGGGGACATAAAATATCTTTTAGAAAACAAGTGTGACATATACGCTATTCAGCATAGGGTAACTACATAGTGGCCATTTTAATTCCATAGTAATGTGATCCTTCAAATAAAATTACATTTGCCCTTCATTTACATTACGTAAAACGAATTCATTTTAACTGCAGCATGAAATATGCCCTTCCTTTTCACAGCTCTTCTTCAGAGTATGCCCTGCCCCCAATAAGCATTTTTGTACAAATCTAGTGATGAGGTAACATGGCTTTTCTAGTCTGCTAGGTTTCTGTGGGAACCAAGAAATAGCACAGATATCCATCATGTTAAGTAGACTATTGTATTATATTGATTATAAAGCAGACATTGATAACTTCCTGGAGGGTGTTACCCTGTAGGAATTAGGCTGTAGTGTCAATTTCCTACTGAAGACAGTAATTCCATCTGTTTCCATGGCACATCAAGAGGTCGTGCCGTGTTGTGGTCTAATGGGCAGACTCTAGCCTCAGGCTATTTGGATTTTGATTTCTAGCTCTGCTGCTGATTGTGTGACCTTAAATTCTTTACCACTCTGTGTTTTAATTTCACCACAGTAAAATTATTAAGAAAATTAAATGAGCTACCATTTCTAAAGGACAGCATAACAGGACCTGGGAGACAGAAAGTGAAACAGAAAGAAAATGGGCTTTAGTGCCAGACAGAAGGAGGTTTTAATTATGAGTCTGCAATGTATTAATTGTGTAATCTTGGGCAGGTTTCTTAAAATTTGTGAGTTTCAGTTTCCTTACTTAAAATCAGGACTGAGATCTGCATCAATCCTGGCTCATGATACACACCCGCCCTATCCCCTCTCCCTTTCTTCTCAAACTCTCAGAATTTACAAATTCGTAACAATCAAATTATATAATTCCCAAATTAATAAAACTGAAATGATAAGTTTGTATTAGTAGTTTTATTTGAGGCATAATATACTCTCTTTCAGGTCTTTGTCTTAGGCAAAATTCTCCTGTCAATGAAGCTGGAAAAAAAAATCTAGCAGGTATATGTATTTGTAGGATTTGCTAATTAGTTTAAGGAAGTTTTCAGCAAGAACAAAGCAAAAGAATATAATACATTTCCATTTTATTGTAATTGTGATTATGTGATATCACTCTTACAAGGGTTTTTTTTTTTTTTTTTTTTGGTGGAAAGGTAATTACTGCTTCTTAGGCTGGGTTTACCTAAGCCTGCAATTGTTGTTGCTGATCGCCTGCATATGGGAACCTATCTCTCTACTCCTGTCTGAGCAGAATATAGTTGAGCCTCCAGTTCTTGTGTGATATTAATTTGGCAAGAAACACACTCATCCTAAATTCATGAATTAAAAGAAGTTCAGAAAAGTCCTTAAATTCCTTCTGATCAAAAAAATTTTTTCCCATTTCGCTGTAGTCTTCAGATACTTTTTTCCAGAAAATTTTCCTACAAGTGAAAGCCTCTCATATCCATAGGTGGCAGTGAAGTGAGGTGCAAGTACGGCTCTCACCTTGATAGGTCCTGAACACCCATTATGTGCACACCACCTTCCTCGGTGCCTAAGGAGCTCCCGTCACTGGAGAGGTGTAAAACTGAAAAAATACTGCATTCAACTTCTAAAGCTGACTGAGAATTGAGATGAGTATTTCCCTGGAAAATTTCAATCAGGAAAGCATCAATGTATTCATGAACAACATGAGAAGATTTGCAGCCTCACTAAAAATCAGAGAAATACAAATTAAAAGAAAATGTGATGCCATTTCCCCCCATGCGGTTATCAGAGATGATTACAAAAATTACCATACCCAGTGCTAAGAGTAATACAATGACGGGAACCTAACATTCACAATGTCTGGTGTGTAAGGTGATTTAAACTTTCTTGAAAGATATTTTGTAATGTATATCCACCTTAAAGTATGAATAGAGCTCTTCTCAGTGTTTTCCCTAATAAAAATCTAAAGATGATCAGAATACATTAAAAAAAACTGATTTATGTCCAAAAATGTTTACCTCAGCACTATTTGTTTTAGTGAAATAATGGCATCAATCTAAATGTTTAAATATAGAGAGATGATTATAAATCATCGTACACCTGTAAGGCAAAGCATTAGCCTGTTATTACGTAACATACTTGGAAGTGACTTTAATGGCATAGGGAATTATTTCTGCTACAATTTTAAGTGAAGAAGTCAAATGAAAGTTGGACATATTGCAGATATGAAGGCAAGAAATTCTCTTATCATTTAACGTAGATACTCAGATGAAGAAATTATGGATAATTTTTTTTATAGTTTTCTTTTCTCTAATTCTCCAACAATGGCATATACTGCTATTACTGTCACTTAAATGCTTTTTAAAACTATGGAAATGTGATTACAAGCGACATTATGAAACACGGCAAAATATTCTAGAATATTAGCATATGATTGGCTTATGGAAATTAATTTAATTCCTAATCCACATGGCAGGAAGTTTTCTAATACATTCAAAAGGGACAAAATTGTATCCATGGATGCAGAATGTCTTCTGATATTTTCGCCTTTCATTTCAGTGTCAATGTGCTGTCCAGGAGCAGCAGCTCAAAGTTTATGCTGCTCAAACTCTAAGCAGAGGTTTGCGAAAGCCTCTGCTGTCTCCAACACGGCACAGCTAGGCTAAGGGAATATTCTGCCCCCTTAGCTTTGTCCCTCTGAGGACTCAGAGACGATTGAGGGATGTCCCAAGAAAGAGCAAATGAGAGTCTCAGGAAAGTGCATGGTGTTGAGAAATCACCTCAGTGAAAAATTAGTTGTTACAATAAGTCTGGGAGCTTCTAAATGTTAAGTGGCTGTATATCTGATAGTCATAGCTGGGAAAGTATGCATATCTGCCCTTCGCTTTCCAAAAAACCAGATGGAGTTAGGTTCCTGCAGGGCAGTCCTTAAGAGGTGACCACTTGTATCTTTTGGCATTCTGAGCTGTCTCTTTCCTTTCTGCCTCTAAATGACCTGTCAGTCTACTGCTAGTTCCTTAAAACTAATTTAAACAGGTTACCTTGGTTTCTACCTCCCCTCTAGATATAATTGTTAACAGTGCCCCCCAGGACTCCAAAAATGTCCAATTTTAGTGAAGGTACAATCCTTGAAACTATGCCAATACGCCTCGAAGAGGAGCAGATTAAACTGTTGTTTATTTGCAATAAAACATCTGCTGTTTTCCCTTCTCATTATTTTGGCTTTAGTTTTAGGTGACATCATTCCACACTAAGAATAATCCAATAGCCTTTGCAGTGAGCTCCCTCTCTCTAGCCTTACATTTCTCCCGTACACCTTCCATGTCGATGCCAAGTTGGTAGATTATCCATATAACCCGTCTCCCCTTGCTTGTTAAAGCCCGGCATTGAGCCCTCACGGTGGAAGTTTAGAAGAGAAGTTTTTTAGCGTGGCACGTGTGATCCTTCATAATGTGGCTTCTACCAACTACACAGAAAATACTCAATAAATGATAGCTTTTGTTTCTATTATCCTGCAAAAACCAGCTATATCATTTCCTCCAGGAAGACTTCCCTAGGTTTTTTTTTTTGGCAACTTCACTGTTTTTTTTTTTTTACACCTTTTGTTGTTATACTTGTCACACTCTATTTTATTAGAGGTCTGTGCTCCTTATTGACCTGCACAGACTGCATCTTATTTGCCTCTGTATTCTCAGAGTACCTAGGTGCTTAAAAATGAATACTTAGTTAAATGGAATTTAATTTTTTGATTGATGTTTATCAGAATCAGCTCACTAAGGATGGATTTACAAAGGGGAATGGTGAAAATTAGGGCCTTAGGAGTCTAGGATGTGGATGACTAGCTCACGACAAAAAAAGAGGTAGTGATGGTGGAGGGGACACAAATAATCTGAACAACAGACTCTTTCACGGTTTCCCAAAGCAGCGCGTCTGCGACGTTCAAGATGGGAGGCTGCCAACCAGGCTGGCATTGGAGGAGTGGTAAAATGTGGATTTTGCCTTTGGGGAGTTCTAATCTTCTCTGTACAGTATCGCTCTCCCCTAATTCTTGTGTCTCTAGACTCATGATTCCTATCTCCAGGGCTCTCATACCTTCCGTCATCCCACAGCCCCAAGCTGGGATGCTGGTTCTAAGTCAAGCTGCCTCGCGTGCTCCACCCTTGCCCCTTTTGTCATCTTGGCTCCACCTGCAAGGTTCCTCTTCCTGGTGGTTGTAGAGAAAAATGGGTTTGCCTTTCTAAGTCTGGGTTAATCTTCTGTAAAATTATGGGATTGCAGACTCCTTGGCTTTATGGCATAGTGAAAGCTGAATACTTAGATACGTGTCCTCTTAAGCCAAAGGAGTGATTTGCAAATAAGGGAATTTCAACCCAGAAAGAGCCCTGCACTGAAGATGGCGTTTAGTGAATGCCAGATCCCTGAAGAGTGGTCATTATTACCAGCCCAGCCATTTACTTCTTTAGTAATAATGCAAATTCAGTATTTATTACAATCTGTATTCTATGCTACTTTCTAGCTTATTTTTGGTTGTGCCCATGACATGTTGACATATAGTTTCTTTTTCCTTTTATTCTATATGTGGGCATTTAAACTTTACTTTTCTATATTTCTTTGCAGCAACCTACTTTAAGTTCCATGTGAATAAAAGAATATGAGATTTAGTCCTTCCCCACTAAATCACTCAGTTATGCTTTTAGCACCAAATTAATGCAAAATAAAATTGTGTAGTTTATAACTGCAATTTAAAAATATATAGGGAACTCTTCTCTTCCTAAAATTATCTTATATCTCAAATTTTAAAATACTTACCCTTCATATTTCTTCCTTTGATGCATATTTTTATAGCCTGTCCTTCTAGACTTCGTAAAAAAATAAAAGGCAATTGCAGTCATTGCTCTTACCGTTCTAATGATGGCTAGCTTGTTTGTTTGTTTTGTTCTTTAGTATTAAGACATCATCAAACCAACATGCAGAGCATTCAGTCTGAATTTTCTCCACCTTGTCACTGACTTGGGCTGAGAACTCATACAGATTTCAAATGCCCTGAAGTTTAAGGATGTCTTCCCTAAATTCATTTTGAAATCTACTCTTAAGAATATTTAACCCAGTGAAATAGGGGATTAAACAAGAATTGTCCACCTCCCTACCCCTTCTTGGTATATGCAAAGTATGTAACTCCCACACTTTCCATCTCCTTCCCCTGAACTTCTCTTCCTCCTGAGACCTCAATTCTAGGGAGTAGTAATAATTAACTCCAGTGAGGCCGGAGTGAAGCAGGGGAACAATGGAGAGCACATACTTCTCAATTCAGTTACTTGTTCACACTCCAGCACTTCTCTGTGTCTGTGTGAGATAACGTGACTCCAGCTCAGTGGTTTAACAAACCTTTTTTAGTACATGGCATCCAATTACCCTCTTATAATATCCTAGTCAGATGCATCATAAGTTCAGACTCCCAAGACCCAGAAAAAGTGAAATAGGGGATCTGTTTTAATTAAAAATGGAAAATCCTCCTTAATAGCTTGTTATTTTATTGATTTATGTCCTTTGTGATTGAAAATAGGACTTACGGTTGCTACTTGAATGTTAAAAGTGTGGGTTTGTTAAGTTAGCCTCTGTATTATGGTCAGACAGCTTATGTAAAATTACAAAAGGCTTCATGCCAAATAGAATAGTGTTTTCTTAAAAAGCAGAGCTAAGAATAGCCCAAATTCTCAGGAGGTTTGAGAAAAATGACCCCAAAAAGGCAAGAAAGAAAGCGAACTCTTACCAAATCATCACCCACCCCCCACATCGTTCCCTTTTACTCTCCTTTATTTTTCTCTCTAGCACTTTTCACTATCTGCTGTTCAATATATTTCCTGTTATGAGTTTATTCCTGTCTCCCTTACCCAGAATTAAAGTTCAAGAAGGCAGGGAGTAGGTCTGTGTTGTTCACTGCTATAACGCCAGTGCTTAGAAGAGTGCTAGTACAGAGTGGGCCCTCAATAAATAGTAATAAATAAATGATGGGGTGAATATTACTGATACGCTTTTTGAAATCTGTAAAGGTCTGAGGGCTAGCATATAATCAATTTTGGTAAATAGGATCTAGGTGCTTGAAATGAACTTGTGTTCTCTATAGGGAGCTTATGGTTCAATACAGGCAAATCAATTCAACCTGTAATCCAAGCAGTATGTAATTCAGATCATGTAATTCAAATTCTCTATGTCCATATGTATTTCCTACATAGTCTGTCAAATGCTCAAAGAGTTACATAAAAGTCTTTGAAATAATTGTACTTCTACCCATGCTTCCCTTATTACTTTTTAAAATTTTCTTTATTTCTAGGTTTATTTTACACGTTTTAGTGTTGTTCTCTTTGTCATGTAAATAATGACAACTATTTTCATTGTTGGTTATAACTCTGATCCAGAATGTGGATTTTTCTTTGGGAAAAAAACAAGTTATTTAATATTTTCTTTCTTGACTTTTACTTTATCTAAATTTAATACTGCCCAATGCTTGCTTTTAGCTTGTTTACCTTGTAATGCTTGTCCGACCATGGATTTTTAATTTTTTTTTTGCATGTTGCTTACGATCAGCATGTATTTGGATTTTGTTCCTTAAACAGTCAGAAATTCTTCATCATTTGAATTTATCCAACTTTTATCTACTACCATTGCCTTTCTGCTTGGCTTTACTTATTTTAGCTTTAGTTTTTATTATTCTTTATCTTAGTTATAATGTCTGATAGTTCTCTTTATTTTCTTAGTTTTTATTTTTTGGATTCTGTGGCTTTACTTTTAGTTTTCCATTTAGTTTTCCATTTAGCAATTTCCAAATCTATAAAAGTAAATACACATACACACTATGCTTCTAACTCTAAGGGTAAGTTCATTAATTAATTCATTTAACTAATATATATTGAGCACCTATTACACACGAGGAAATGTTCTAGGCAGTGAGGTACATCAGCAATCATAACACAAAAGACATGGAACTTGAATTCTAGTGAGTTGCTTTTAAGAAATTACAAACAATATTTATGGTTAATTCATGGGTAAAGTCAAAATTAAATCTTTTTTGCTTTCCTAATTTAATGTAGAGAATCTCAGATACTTTGTCTTCACCGTCATTTGCTACCCTTTCAATTTAAAGGCCTTGTTAATATAATCTGCTTGTTTAGACCTAAAAATTTACATTAGTTTTTGTTTATAGCTTATACTGCTTCTATTCCAATAATGTTTTGTGTTTTATCCATTTGTCAGTCTAAAGCTATGATTATTTAGAATAATAATTATATATAGTTCACTCTGTTTAATAATTTCACATCACACCAGTCCTTTATTGACACAATTTTCCAGTTTTTAAATTCTGAGTTCTAATTCATCATTCAGTAAGCTGGAGTTCTTCTTTAAGTAGTATCTACAAAAAGGACATGATTTCTGAGCCAAGCATACCTGAAACTATTCTGTCTTCTCATGTGTGAATAAATACTCAGTCAGGATAAAACATTTTACGTCATAAATTGATATCCTGCCCTGAAAACTCTGCAGCACCTTTTCTTTTGTCTCCAGCTAGTTCATGTCTCAAAGTAGTCAGTTGCTAGTCAGACTTCTATTCCTTTGTAGGCAACTTTTTTACCTGTATGTTTGACAATAGAATGTATTAATTATCCATGTGATTCAAAAATTTTGTTCTAGTAGGTGTTCATATACTTGTATCTTTTAAATCTAGGCCATTAGAATATTCATTTTTAAACCCAGAGAGATATCATCCTTGTACTTAAATGTTTGCATGGCTCATTTATACCTGTGAATTGCTTACTTTGCCACTGCCCTGATGCTATTTTCCTCTAAAATGTGTAACTGTAACTTCAAGGTTACATGGCCACTTTCTCAATCTCTAATTTCTGTTCTTTGTTTTTATATCTTTGTCCTTTTATTCTAAGGGGAGCTTCTTAAGTGTTTTTTCTCCTTACAGACTTCATTGTCAGTTTTCTTATTTTATTTTTATGACTTTGTAATCTAATTTCATACACTGTATATTTTTGTACCCTATGGAGAATGCAAAATAGTATTGTCTATATTTGTTTTCCAATCTCAATGGTAAATAATTTTTAGAGATGAGCACTCACTGTCAGTCATGTAGATAATATTCTCTATCTGTGTCCCTTTCTCTCTCAGTCTCTCTTTAATTTCCTTTACTCATTCTCAAATGGAATGTCATCTACACTGACTGTATGGTTACTCCTCAATAGGGTGGGTAAAATGGCTTGGCTCTGGTCATTAATAACCTTCTTCGGAGCTGGTTACATATCCATTCCATACCTGTAGCTAAAAGGCAGGAGGATGTGTTGCCTAAATCGAGAACTTACATCTTTGCATCTAGCATATTTATACTGTACTGACCTACGGTTGGCCCCTTGTTTCTAGAACTTATGCAAGAGAGGGGCCTGATGGTAGGGCCTAAACCTTTGGATTCTCCTCTGCATGATGCCACTTGACTTTTCAGTTATTTTGTTATATGACCCAATCCGTGCCTTTTATTTTGTTGCTTTTTTTTTTTGCTTGATTCCTTTAAAAATGTTTCCCCTTTCAGAAATTAAAAGAATCCTAGCTAATATGATACTTATAATTTCTTTATGTGTTTTAGCATTTATTTCTTTGCGTTTTGGTGAGAGAGGCAGACCCTCAATTTGTAGACGCTAAAAACCAGGTCAGGTAGAGGAACCACCAACCAGCGAGCCAGTCTTAGATCTAAGAAGGGAATTTTGCCAGTGGAAAAGTTGACTGAGTAGGTCTGAAAACAAATCAAAAGTCATAATTTGACTTGGATACCATGCTCAAGGAAAGAAGGCAAAAACATCAAAAATAAAAAATATTTTCCTATTTAAATCTTTATCAAGCAACAGAAAGGTAGACCATACTAAAAGAAAAGCAGCCCTCTGAAAATGGTGCTGAAACCAGAATATAATTTTAGAAATTTGACATTATTCCTAGAATGTATAATATATTACCTCTGAACTGGAGGTATAAATCAACTTGAAGAAAATAGATTGAAATAAAAGACATCAGGCTGACCTTAAAAAAATGGGTAGTGAAATAAGGAAGGATATCAAGAGAATTAAATAATAGTGGCAGATTTTAAATCCACAATGATTGATGTTAATAAAGAGTACAATCAATACGGTAGAAAACTGATTCACTGACGTGGAGGTCATACTTAAACAGCCCACTCGTAATATAGGGATAAAGAAGAAAACAGAGTAGAAATGAGGGGGTAGAAAATGATAGGTATGCTATTAAAATATAGAAAACTTACTGTAGAATAGTAGAGTTTTCTAAGAAAGATACAAACATTGGAATGAAAAAATTATGAACTGTATTGTGGAAGAATTTTACTGAGTTGAAAAAATGGCTTAAATATCCAAATTGAAAGAGTCTCCTTTACTATAAGCAAAGACTAAAAAGAGATACCCACATTTAGACCAGCCCTAAAAAATTTTTAATTACAAAGACTGAAAAATGCATACTCTCATTTTTTCCACCCCTCCCCCCCCATAAAGTCCATAAAGAAAACAACAAAACCAATGCACAATAAGATACCTGGAAAGGAAAAAAAAATCACCCTGGCCAAGCCCTCTCTCCAGCTTCATTCCAGAAGAGAACAGAACAGCAAACATAGAGTTTCAGGCAAAAACAATGTGACCCAAAGATATTACACACAACAAAATTCCTATTCTCGGATATTCAAGGACTCAGAATTAATACCACGCTTGCATTCATCTTGAAATAATTCAAGAACATTATATATGTAAGAGGATTTATGGTTCTTTCCATACTTTGTTTGGTCCCAACTCAGGAACCTAGATGGACAATGTCTCGTCAGGAGAATTCTGCAACCAAACCAGGGGAGATGCTAGATTCTACCTTTTTCCTCAGCTGTTTCTGTTCTGCTCCCACACTTCCACCAGTTCCAAAATGTGTTCTTTGTGCCACATCTTCCACTTTACAACTGAGATGGTGTCTCATGACTTATTTAGTGTCTACTTAAAATAACAAGTTCTGTCCTAGTCTAACAGTTGCTAAAAATGACAAAAGTTAGATTTGAGAGTTCTACACCACTTTGGACACAATCGTTTTTTCTCCTTTATTTTTCTCCTTTATTTTCCTCCTAGAAAAGCAGAGATGAATAAAGTCCTATTATAA